GCTTTTGTCAAAAATTGGCATTTACTGCCACTCAGCCAACGAGAATCTGGAGGGGTGAATGGCTCCCACGTGTCCTCCTCACCGGTCTCCCCTTTCTCCCGGAAAATTTATTGGGGATAATTGGTGGAAAGGGCGCACCCTGCAAAGGGGGGTACACAGGCCGTCGGATGTGGAAATCTGAATTTCAAGGCCGAGGTTGGGTCCGGACCGTTTGGCACCTTCCTATGGGATCATGAACCTGGTGGTGTATCTGTGGTAGATTCATTTTGTGTAGGCAGTTCTTACCAAATGGGGAAAGTTTGGGCTGCGAAACCAAAAAGGTTTCCACCAGCCAGTTATCCCAAATTTCTTCCGAGAGTCCCGTGAATAGAGCTTCCATGTTACAATAGCAGAATATATAATTAAAAAAAAAAAAAACTGCTTTGGAGTCGGGACATGCTTCAAAAAATAGGAACGATACAGAGAAGATTAGCACGGCCCCTGCGCAAGGAAAAACAAAAGTTGGGTTTCCAGTGCTTCCAGCAATTATCCCAAATTTCTTCCCAGAGTCCCGTAATTAATTGCTCCATAGGACATATTCACGGTAGAATATAAAGGGGATCCCCGGTCACGAAACGAAAACGAGTTATGACCGACGGGTCTTATCTCAGTGGGTATACCCATAATCTTTTTTTTTTTTTTTTTTCTTTTTTTTTCTTTTTTTTTTGGTTAATCTGGTGAAATGCAGAGCTAAGCTCAAATCCAGCTGGAACCAGATGAACAAAATTCCTGAATTGACACGCATAATCTGGTGAAATGCAGACCTAAGCTCGAATCCAGATGGAACCTGATGAACAAAATTCCTGAATTAGCTGGGGCCGGTCACTTTCACGGTGATGCAGGCTCAAGGCTGACGCCCTTTTTCGTTAAAAAAAAAAAAAAAACGACTGATGAAAATCCAGCGGAGCGAGGCTCATTTCGGGGAATTTCCTCCAAGTATGACAACGGAGCCCAAGACAAAGGTTTTGTCCCGGTGGGGGGAGGGGGGGGTGAGAGGGGGTGCAAGCCAAAGGGTTGTCCCCGGAGAGGGTCCTTGTTATGACTTTCCCCACATTATTTCATCATGATCGCCATAAGCAACCTATGTTTTTCGTTTTTTTTCTTTTCTCTTTGTTAATCATTCTCAACATATGTGTAATTAGCGACGACGTAAGTTGGTCTGTTCATTCATCCAAAAATTTGCATTCCGCGACTAGAAATCTATAAGCATCTATGCCCGCCACGTGTCCTGCTCACCTCCTCCTCCTCAAAAATTCGCATTCCGCGACTAGAAATCTATAAGCATCTATAAAGACATCTTCTAGATTCGCCATGTTCCATACTGAAAAAGGAAAACGAATAGCCCCCTTTCTTCTTGGTTTTATCTTCGAGTGATTCCTGAATTATGGGGCTCGATCCCTCGCCGAAACGTTGACAGCTGTATTCGTCTGAAGTTCTCTGAACCGGGTGACGAGTCGTTGGTCAGCTTGGCCAACGTGGTCTCCGCTTTCAGGCAATCCGGTCAAAGAGGATGGAGGCATGTCGTCTTGCTCGGCTACCTTCGGCAATAGCGGACAGGCTGGGTGGAACACGGAGGGAGGCAAGAACGGCAAGAACGGGTCGCTGTGCGACACCGACTGATCAAATGTGTCAAAATGAGAATGAATCCTCCAGCTAGAACACGGAACGATGCACAGCCATATACTCTTTGTCTTTTGCGCATATGGTGAGTACTGGAGCGAGGCCCTATTACGCAATCTCTTTACGCTTTCCTGGGCTAACGACGCTACAGAGTCCACCTCCTCCCTCCTTTGGCCCTGACTGATAGAGGAGCCAGCCAAACGCCACAGAATGCAACCATTGCAACGTACTGACACGGTTTGCCCGATATTTCGGATCCTCGGAGGGAGCTTGGTTGGGTACTGGCCATGTTCCACAAGCGTTGCTTCAGACACTGATGTATACATACATATAAATACGGCATCAGAGGGCACTGAAAGGCCAGGCCTCGTTCACCATTCACTTCAAGCACGGATACGAGCACTGATCTACGACTTGGCTTGCCGTAACTGCTTACTTGCTGTAGAGAGACGTGCACACACTGCTGCAAGGCAGAAGCAAACGGCGTGGGTGTTCGAGCGTGTTCGGCAGCAACATTCAGAGAGGCGACCGCAGACCGCACACTGGCCGCGCGCGCGCGCGCGCGCACAGAAAGAGAGAGAGGAGTGGGCGAAGTGAGAGTCGATTGTCGAGAGTAGTAAGTGTACAAGCTGAGTGATCGTGGTGGTTGAGGAACGTCGAGGAAATGGAGGGGGGAATGTTGATGGGGTATTCTCGACTTGCTGCCATTAGTGGGATTACGCTGTTGGTCCTTGTGGTGGCTGCTGGGGCCACGGACTGCGGAAAGCCGTTGGATCAGTGCGACTTCTATTTCAAAGGGTATGACAAGAACGTTCCCTTGCTCAGGCTCAAAAAGAAGGGAGACACCAAGTACTTCTACGCCGGGCGACTCATGCACAAAGCAGGGTAAGCAACCAAGCCCCGCGAACACTTCTCGGTTTTCCCACCCCACCTGCACGTCATCTTGCTGCGCCATCGCCTCCACCCTTTTTCTCCCACTGATGGTCATCTTTGTCCGTCAATGTCCGCCCCTCGTTTTCCTTCCTGCTTGCTCAGTATCACTAGTACGTTCCCAGCAGTGGCAGGAAGGGAGGCGCCGAAGAAGTCTTCGTCTTCTAAAACTTTGTTTTCTTGATCGATAAGATGAGCATCTAAGGGGGGGGGGGTGCTCTATACCACCTCCCCTAGCGAGGGGACTGGTAAAAAAGGAAAAAACGAGCTTCGAGAAAGTCTGGTGTCCTCAGTTCTATTTCACTTTGATTCACTCCGCTGCCCAAGGAGCTTATCCACTACTACCCGTTCTGACGTCTGTTGACCTCTCTCTCTCTCTCTCTCTCTCTC